TCATCCAGAGCTCGCGGCTCAAACACATTCCCCGACAAAATATGAGCTCCTATTACAATCAAATAAGGCATTCAATATAGTTGATCATAGGTTCACTTAAAGAAACAGAACAACCAGAATTTATTACAAAATTATAATTCATTTAACACAATTTTTACGGCCACTAAAATAAAAGAAACGTACGTACCCACTTCGGCGCCTTTCTCGACAACACAAACTGACAAGTCGGCGTTCTTCTCACGGCACAACTGCTTCAGTCGTATCGCCGCCGATAAGCCGGCAGGCCCCGCCCCAACAATCACCACATCATACTCAATCGCTTCTCTGCATGATTCACTACTGAACCCCCTCGCTCCATTTAGCGAATACCCAGATTCAGCACCAAATCTTGAAGCTTTTCCACACGGATTGGGAAATGATGAGAACCTGTTAATTGGTGTTGTCGATAGTTTGGATTTGGCAGAAGAGAGGATGAATTTGAGCATTGTTTTGAGCTGTGAAAGATGAACAATTGTTGCGTGTGTGTAAAATCGATGTTGGATTGTCGTTCCCGTATTAATTTGTTACGTACTAAAATAATATACTTCTCAAGCTGCAGAGGATAGAACAGAAATTAACTTACTCCAGCATGACTCAGTCATTATCCAAATGTCCAGGCAAGCATGCGTGTGTTTTATTCATCAATTTATAAGATTTGAACTCAATTTTGTGTATTGTGAAATAATCAAGGTGGTTTAATTTATGTTGGAGTTAATATTCAAAATGATCATAAATTATAATGATTTTTTTCAATTTTGTTCTAGACGATTTTGGTGACCTAATGTAGTCTTCGATTTTTGTGTTTTTCTTCAATTTAGTCAACTGTTTGTTATTATGTTCATTTGGTGTTAAATAGAGCGACAATTCAGTAATTTCAGTATTGACATCTCTTTACTTCTAGCATTAAAAGAAAAAGTGATTTCGCACTTCACATGACTGTGAATAAAGAAAGACAATATTGAAATTATTGAATTGTCTCTTTATTTAACATCAATTTGACGAAATAACAAACGAATGACTAAAGTGAGCAAAAACACAAAAGTCTAGGACTACATCATGTTACTAAAGTTGTTTAGGACGAAATTGATAAAAACCACTATGGTCAATGACATTTTGGATATTAACTCATTTAGGTTGGTTGACAACTTTAAAAAACACAACTACTATTCAATTTTATTAGTAATATAATTTTTATATTTGGATTAATGTTTTTAAATTTTTGTTTTGATTTTTTTTTTTTGTCTGGTGTTTTGAATGTCAATATATTAAAATCAATTATTTTAATTTTTTTTTATTTTTATATTTTTAAAACTTTATTCTCATTATGGAGTCATACATAAGTACATAACTAAATATTAATATCATTATCAAACATTTGATTCCCATTATGATTCCGATTTCGTTTCTCATATGCAAACCAACCAACTCTTAGAGAGGTAAATTATTATTTTAATTGAATAGCAACCAATACAACCGGTACCTAGATGATCCCCAAATGGCATGGCATAAGCTAAGGCTAATAATGTAGTTTTTTTTTTTTTTTTTTTTTTGGGTGGCTTCTATGAATATAATTTAATGGTCGTCTTGGGATAATAGTATTTGATTTGATTTTTTGTTACATTGGAATTTAGAAGCATGAAGCTAAGAAAAAAATGTACTAATTTAAACAATATAATAGAGTTATGCAATTAAATTAAGGATAAGGGAGGGTGGCAATGTGGTTATGAGCCACAGTCCCAATCCAAAGCTTCCCATCCACCTCTCTGACTTCACTCACCAGCTTCATCACATCTCCATGTTTATCCTCAAGAACATCAAGAACTTCCCCATTTTGATCGAAGAGTGAGATGACAGTATACATTTTCATCCCTGCAAATCTTGCCAGATACTGCATAGGAAGTGGCAGCCTGAAGTACACACTTCTGGTCCATGGATGGTTGATCAAAACCTCCTGGATTCTAGTTCTGCAGCAGTCTATTGCCACCCAATATTGCCCTTTCTCGTTCGCTCTAACGTTGTCTGGGAATCCTGGCAGATTGGCAATCACTTCTGTCCTCCCGCTTTTCGGCCCCTCTACCCAGTACTTCATCAGCCTGCAATTGGTTGTTTCTGTGAAGAGAAGAAAAGAGTGGTCCTCAGAGAATTGAACTCCATTTGGGAAAGCCAAACTGTCCAAAACAACATGGGTTTTTCCTGTGGGAGGATCATATCTCAGTAGCCTACCCGTGGCTTCTCCTTCCAGCATTATCAAGAAATGGTTTCTGTAAACATCATTAAAATTTCAGAAAAAACATGTATGGAGATTTAAGAAGGTGGGAATATTAGGGTGGACTTACACTCTGTTGTATTTCTGGCTAGTGTCAGTGAAGAAAATGGAACCATTTTTATGAATGTCGAGGTCATTCGCAAAGAGTATAGGCTTCCCTTCGACGTGTGTGGCTAAAGGAGTTGCAATGCCTCCATCAGGCCCAACCACTAGGAGGCCATAGTATGCATCTGCAATGTACAAATCTCCTGTTTTCTTGTCGAATCTCAGCCCGAGGGGGCGCCCACATTGTGACTCAAACTTCCATTGCTTTGGTGTTGTTGAGTCCACTCCTAAACCACAAATCTTCTCAGACCTGCATTGCATGCCAAAACAATATGAACTTTCAAGAATTGGTAAGAAATAATAATGGGAATAGAAAAGTGATCTGAGTGGTAACCAGTTAGGTGTGACTAAAGCAAAGGTTTCCCAGCCTGCATTGTCACCCATCCACCTAACGATTCGACCATCGGCTAGTCCACCATAAGGTCCACGCCCCAAGGTATCGAACTCGAGGGATTCAGGTCCAAAAACTTCATCTACAAACTCCAAATTCCCAAGCCCCAACCTGCTCTTGTTATCCCCATGCCACCTCTCCATCACTTCCTTGTACGGGGCTATGTCGTTCTTGACTGGCCTAAACTTCTGGCCTCCCACAGGGCTTAACTCGAATGGATCTCCAATCATGATGCCTATGAGAACAGGAAGAAGCAAATACAAAAGCTGCTGAAAAACTTCTCTTCTGATCTTTTCCATTATCTAGTATCTGATAGGATCTCGATCTCGATCTCGATCAGAATGGGTTGGATGGAGTTAAGATGATGGATGATATGCAACTGACTCCTCAAAGTAGTGTTGTTGTGAGTGTAGTATAAAAGGAAAACATGCATGATTTGTGGCAGAGGTGTGGGTTGGGAATAGGTTGTCTACTTCCTAGTCATGAGTTTGGCATTTTGGCTTCTTCAATTCATTACCATCCAAGCAAATGCAAATGTGTAATAATTCTTAGTCTCAACCTAGGATAGCTAGGTTGCTGGTGATGATGTTGGTGGAAGATATAAAGAATGCAAGAGTATGAAGCTTTAATTCTTCCTTAGCTTCTTTGCAATCAAACACATAATGTATGTATGTGTTTTCATATCAATCAACTTAATTAGGTGATTCTCAAAGAACTTGTGGTCGAGCGGCATATGACTCTTCCAAATAGGAGGTCACGGGTCCAAATCTTAGTGGGACAAAAAAAAAACTTAATTAGGTGGTTGACATTAGTATTTTTTTTCTTTTGAAAATAGGTGGTTGACATTAGGTTTTGCCAAGACCTTATGATCTAATGACATCCGGTTGGACTCCCATATGGGAGGTTGTGAGTTCAAGCTTTAGTGGATGTGTAATTGGCTCTTTATGCTTTAGTAGGTTGAGAAATTAATTATGAACAGATACTACATTGTAATAAAGTCAGTACCATTCAAAAAATATATATATTTGTCAATGTAAATTAATGATGATGAATTTTTCTATATTCGGCCCAAACATGTTAATGGCCCAGAGTAGTGGGCTAACAGGCTAGAGAAGTGGAGCAAGACCTCGGGTGTCATATAGGGGCAATTTATATCTTAGATCAGGTTCACATAATATTATAGACGTTGGATCGAAATGATAAGGTACAAAATTCATATTTGTAAGATACATTATATATTTATTTATTTTTCAAATCTGATTTAGGTACATAATTTTTGTTTATAGGCATAGAATTTCACAATACAAAACACAAAAATTCATAACTTGAGACACAATTACTATTTGTTTCATGTACAGAATTCATATTTACAAAATTTTATAACACATGACAAATAAATTCACAACATAAAACACATATGCATGCACCAGAGTTCACAATACACTATGAACCCTTGTCTATGGTATAAAAATGGCTGATATAGGCTACACCAAAATTTAGGGGAAATCAGGAAATGATGGAATAGTCATAATTTGCACGAGATTAGGACATGAACCACGAGAATTATGACATAACTAGTAAATACATGTTTCTCCTATAAATAGACCTTGATCTAGGATCATGTATCATGTTTTTCTCATAAAAATAATGATTTCACTAATTTTTATTGTTATTATTGTATAATAATAATAATAATAATAATAATAATAATAATAATAATTTATATACTTAGGAATTAGTTTACCATTTACTTTCATAATTAAAGAATCTAATCCCATCAATAATATCTTATTATCAACTATCTTTACATTATTCAAATGAATAAGTACCAATGTACCATATATGCTCAAAATATTCGATTTCGTCGGCACAGACTTAATTCAATGGTTCGGTAAATAATATTTTAAAGAAGCTAGAGATCAATGTATGACTCATTGAGTCACTGTGAGTGTGGGCCCTTGGAGTTGTGGAATTAATATTTAGGGTGAAGAAGATATTCGATTTCAATTTTGTGACAAATTTAAGTATTGGTCAATTTCCAATGTTTTAGAGTACAATTATCCAAACTCTAGGGGTGGAAGTATCATTTAAAAAAAGTAGGGGGGTGTATGTGCAATTATTCATTTACCTTATTCTACAACCAATGATTATGGGAAGACGTATTGCCAAACACTATATGAACCTGGCATTTTGCTCGCTATCACCGACTTTCACCATTTGGGAGAAGAAAACAAAAAAGAAGTGATGTTTTGGAAACAGAGGGTCAAAACCAGAATTCTGGAAACAGATGAGAGAGATCCAAAAACTCTCGAGAATCGGAGGTATTTTTCTTGATTTATTTTTTGAATGGTTTGATTATGATGTTTTTCCTACAGTTAACGTTGTAAACTTCTGGTAAATTTAATCTAATTTGAATCCAAATAGAATCTGATTAGAAATGCAGGATAGCTAGAAAATGAATGTGATTTCAATTTTCAAATAATCGTATGGGTATTTCCTGGAAATTGAGAACGCTGAACTCTTTGTTTATGTAATCGCTGCATTTATATCATATAGAGAAAGAAGATATTGCATGGTTAGGAAATTTCTATTATCATTCTTTATGGTGCACGATTTTCGGGTCTGAATCGAGCTCCGGTAACTCTGTTCTGCTGCCAAGGATCTCGTGGTCGACACCGACCTGTATTGTATATTATAAAAAGATCAGGTTCGATCCCATTCTTTTCATATGCACCAAAAAATTAAAAAGAAAACAAAAATCTGGCTGGTGTTGGTTGAACGTTTAAATGCTCGAGACAGTATACTCGGATGACCTTGTGGGATTGATGACAATTAGAAATGCTATGTGCCTATGTCTTGTCAGAATCCCACCTTTTGTCTTGTTTGGTAGATCTTGCTCTATTTTTAATGTGAAAGTCTGTAGTGTCTAGCGTTCAAGAAGTTGAACATGGGGTCAGTTTCTTTGTTTCAACTTTTTTCTTGAAGATAGGAAAGGTTGAGGTATGTATGTCTCCCATGGCGCAACCCAGAATTGACTATCTTATTAGGAAGGGGAAGAGGGCAAAAAGTTGGTGTAATGAGTTAATGCAAGGAACTGTGCTGAGAATTGAAGGGGGAATTTTGTTTGTGGAGCTTATTAATTTTTATATGAGGAGTATTATCCAACCATCAGGAAATAAAATGGTGGTATACTAAGTAAGCTATAACTTAGAACTTAAAAACTTGGTTATTGAAGTGAACTGCAATCATGGATGTTGACTCGGCTATTCTGACTTCTTCCTAGTTTTTGCTTCAATAATTGTTTTGAACAATTGGGGTATAGGTATACCACATAAGTTTCATGTTACTGAAGAATTTACATTTCTTTGCTTTCTTCTATAATGATTCTTCATGTTGCATATGTTTTAGGTTCATTCTATGATCGGCTTTCTAAATATAGTCTTATAGACAAATTGCACGAATTTGTTTACATTTCAATTGATGGAATTTCTGATTGTTAAGCCCAACTTTTTTAATGTTTATTGTTCTAAAATCCCCTCATTATGCAATTTTTTGGTGGCACAGACTACATAATCTGCAGATAGCGCCACCCTGTGGTGATGATGATCCTGAATGGGTAAAAAGGATGAGATCAGATGGTCCTGTTCCATATCTTCATCCTGAAAATTGTTCCTCTGGTTGGGCGTCTCCATCTGGGGATATTTTCAAGGTGAGAGGCCCAGAGTACTTCTCAAATAAAGTCAAAATTCCGGGGGGTGAATATCTTCTGAAGCCTCTAGGTTTTGATTGGATCAGAGGTCCTTCAAAACTTTCTGAGCTCTTGAAAAATCCCAAAAACCGTATTAGGATGGCTCTTCAGGAAGAATTTCCCTCGGATGTGAAGCCTTTTGTTTGGGCTTTCAACTTGCAAGTTCCTTCTAAGGAAAACTACAGTGCTGTTGCATACTTTGTTGCTGTGGGGTCCATCGTGGAGGGATCATTGATGGATCAGTTCATGAAAGGAGATCTTGAATTTAGAACTTCGAGACTAAAATTGGTAGCCAATATTTTACAAGGACCTTGGATTGTAAAAAAAGCAGTTGGAGAGCAGGCTATTTGTGTAATTGGGCGGGCACTTAATTGTAATTATTGTGTTGGAGACAATTTCATAGAAATAGATATAGATATTGGATCCTCTGTGGTTGCAAATGCAATTGTTCATCTTGCATTCAGTTTTTTAACAAAGCTCACTGTTGATTTAGCTTTTCTCATTGAGGGCCAGACTGAATCAGAACTTCCAGAACGACTTCTTGGAGCTATAAGATTCTCTGAGCTGAAACCCGATTCAGCAATTGCAGTTGAAATCCCACCTCAGCGGAAATTGGAAAGGACAAAATCATCATTTGCACGGTTATGGAAGTCAGTTGGAAATAGTTTGTCCCGATTGCGTAAGGGTGATCAAGAAAGTGACACCAGTTCTGGTACTTCTGGAGAATCACATACCAATGGGGTTGTCGATGGAGAGAAAAGTGATGACATACATGCTCAAGAACGTGGTGCTAGTTCTGGAGAGTCACATACCAATGGGGTTGTTGCTGGAGAGAAAAGTGATGAAATGCGTGCTCAAGAAAGTGGTGCTAGTTCTGGAGAATCACATGTGAATGGGGTTGTCGATGGAGAGAAAAGTGATAAAATGCCTGATCAAGAAAGTGGCGCAAGTTCTGGAGAATCAAATACCAATGGGGTTGTTGGTGAAGAGAAAAGTGATGAAATGCCTGCTCAAGAAAGTGGAGCTAGTTCTGGAGAATCACATACCAATGTGGTTGTCGGTGAAGAGAAAAGTGATGAAAAGCCTGCTCAAGAAAGTGGCGCTAGTTCTGGAGAATCACATACCAATGTGGTTGTTGATGGAGAGAAAAGTGATGAAAAGCCTGCTCAAGAAAGTGGCGCTAGTTCTGGAGAATCACATACCAATGTGGTTGTTGATGGAGAGAAAAATGATGAAATGCCTGCTCAAGAAAGTGGTGCTAGTTCTGGAGAATCACATACCGATGTGGTTGTTGATGGAGAGAAAAATAATGAAATGCCTGCTCAAGAAAGTGGTGCTAGTTCTGGAGAATCACATACCAATGTGGTTGTCGATGAAGAGAAAAGCCATGAAATGCCTGCTCAAGAAAGTGGTGCTAGTTCTGGAGAATCACATACCAATGCAGTGATTGATGGAGAGAAAAGTGATGAAATGCCTGCTCAAGAAAGTGGTGCTAGTTCTGGAGAATCACATACCAATGTGGTTGCCGATGAAGAGAAAAGTGATGAAATGCCTGCTCAAGAAAGTGGTGCTAGTTCTGGAGAATCGCATACCAATGTGGTTGCCGATGAAGAGAAAAGTCATGAAATGCCTGCTCAAGAAAGTGGTGCTAGTTCTGGAGAATCACATACCAATGTGGTTGTCGGTGAAGAGAAAAGTGATGAAATGCCTGCTCAAGAAAGTGGTGCTAGTTCTGGAGAATCACATACCAATGGGGTTGTCGATGGAGAGAAAAAGGATGAAATCTAGACAACTAGTAAGTGTACAATGGCCAGCTACAAATTCAATTAATTGCTTTTTATTTTCATGTTGCAATGTTGTTCATACCTGCTTTGGTCTCACTTGAACCATAGGCTGTTAATAAGCTAAGCTATTCGACTAGGCTTAAGTTTTCCTGTCGAAAATATTCTTTGATTAATTTGATCTGACTTTCCATGATGTTGCAATTATCTTTTATTACATTATTTTCCTGGAAAACTCAACCATCCTGAATTTCCTACAAAATGTGTTTTCATGTTTTTTATTTTAATCTTTGTTCCTGCTGAAATGTTTCTCTCCAGTTCTAATTAAGTCTTAAATCTTTCAAGGATACTTCCCTGCTAACTAGTCACTGCCTTCAATTTACATTTCCAATCAATTCCCAAGTGTTAATTGGGAATTGCTGACAAGGAATTAACTCAAAGTTCTTTACATATTATCTGTGGATTTTTACTACTCGCTCTTCACAATCCTTTGAACACATTCCTTTACATACATATATATATATATATATACTTGAGCTTCAGAATCTGTCAGGATATCATGGAGTTTAGGTATAAGATGCTTTTTCTTATTAATATTGCAGATTGGCGTGACTAAATTCCCTACAAAATACTTCTGCCTATTATTGATTTTGGAAATAGTATTGTAGAATGAATTTCTTTTCTACACCTATGATCTTTTCAGTGCGTGATAATTTATTTTGCGTTATCATTTTAATTGATACAGCGCTTCAAATGCTTGGGTGACCTTGCATTCATGTTATATAAGAAGAGATTTACTTTTGCTTTTCCAAATTGACTGAAGCGCTGCGCAATGTGGATGCTACGAAGCTAAAGTTGGCATATTTACCATTGTTGCAACTGGGTGCTAGGTCTGTTGCTGCTATTATTTATGTGCTGAAGGAATTATATGTTATTCACACTTTTTGTAGATCACAGGTGTTAATGTATACTTGTCAATTCTTTAAATTTTTTTTTTTCTGAATTAAGAACATTTTTATGTACTTGTTTTGCATTTCTTGAAAATTAAAAAAGCATGCTTATATACTTGCAAATTATATTTATGCCATTTAACTGACATGAAAAGAGAAAAGGCGGGCAACACAGCTTTTAGATGAACATACATATCACAGAAGCGGGTTGCAGGAATCATTCTGCAATGAGCTCGACGCTTTCTTCAGATTTCTGGTCACCTTCAATGTCCAATGAAGAGTAAAGGTACCGGACAAAGTAGAATGATGTGAGGAAGCCGACACTGCCTGTGGAGAGCATGACTGCGATTGAAATGATGAGAGAGTATCCGAGGTAAAGCGTGGCTGATGCTGATCCACTCAAGCCGTTGAGGTCATGAATCAAGTAATTGGTGCAGTAGGAGAAAACGTAGAAGCCAACGGATCCTGATGCAAAGAATGCCTTCCACCACCACTTCCAATCCTCAGCTCGAAGGCGCAGGTGAGTAAGCACTACAGAAACTTGAGCGCAGACAACAACCAACAGCAGCAGGACGATGAGCAGAAAGCCAAAGGCGGAATAGAAATGCCCGAGCCAGATGCTGGAGAGGATGAAGAAGAGCTGGAGAAAGAGGACGGAGAATGCAATGGATCCACACACAAGAACAAGAAACCAGGACCGATATCTAGGTGCAGTGATCTCTCTTGGAACATGATTTGTATTGACAGGGTGTGGAGTCCTTTCTGCTCGTGTGGCCAAGTATCCTCCCGATAGATTGAGGGGCACTGAAATGCTGAACCAAAGCACATAGAGTTGAAGACGTGCATAGATTGAACTGGCTCGAGTACTATGGTTTTCCCTGTAAATGATATCCAGAAGAGCCAGAATAACAAAGACGAACCCGGGGAAGAAGCATGCAATTGACCAAGAAACAGACTTCCACTCTTCTGGACTCCCTTTGATAGTTATCCAAAGCCTTACACCAGCATAACCAGATGCGACTCCTAAGAGAAGGTAAAACACTATCAACCCAAGCGGGAGCATGCCTTGTGAAGCTGGTGGCATGAAACCGAGGGCTGCAAAAACAACAGTGAGAATTGCTGTTCCAGTTATCTGAACCCCATTTCCGACCATCACACAAAGCAGTTTGGAGTGTCCTGGTTCTCTGAACACATCCCCTCTTACGAGTCTCCATCCTGGAAGCTTCTCTTTCGCCTGATGAACTTGTTCGTTGAACTCCTGGTTCCTTCTTGCCCCATATGCTCCAACTGAATTCTTGAGAATCTTAAGAACACCACCAGCAAAGAGGAACATCACTATCAGTGAGTTTACAATAGAAGACCAGTGGAATTGAGCGTCTTCCGTTGCCAGATAAGCATCCCATCTCGACTCCCATCTCACTTCACTTTTCACAAATTCGATTTCATAACTGAATGATACTCTTTCTTTCTCTCTGATTACCTGAGACTTGTCAAGCTCTAAGGAACAGCTTTGGGAAGGAATAGGATCATACATTTGGAGTTTCGACATTTTTCCTGGATCATACTTGATGCTACAAGGGACTACCTCTACCCCCACAATCTCGTAAGCTTCTCCATGATCTTTCTCCTCAAGCTCATGAATAAGGACCCTGAATTTGAGGTGATTGATGAGGTAATCATCATCAGTCTCCATGGCTGTGTATCCAACAGGAAAACCTACCCACCGGTTCTCAAACCCGCCTCGCCTCTCATATCTCATCAAAGGCAAATCATCAAGAATCATGTTCACCTGATACAGATCTCGAGTTTTCTGCTTCAACAACTTGACATCAGATTCACTCAACGGTGGAGTAGTGCAGAGGTGGAGTGACTCATTAACATTCATATGTAAACGGTATGGCGAGTTGAGGACATGATCTCCCATGAGTATCTGCCCGAGATTCCGAGTGCTCTCCGTGATGCCCATTAAAGGCTTGCAGTAAGGCAGGCGGTAGTAGCTGAAGGGAAGCTGTGTATCAATCGATGTCAAAGATTTCACTCTGACATAAACTCCCTCGCCCTTTGAAAATACATGTTTATAGCTTCTTGGGAGAAGGAATCCATCACAAGCTTGTGAAATGAGAAGAAGAAGAAGAAGAAGAATGAAAGCAGAAAAGCATCTCCCTCCTGAGATCAATGGCCCTGCCATTGCGCTCTGTAACTGGTCCAGTGATGTTCAAGTGATTTGTGAATGGGTGAAAGACAGGTGCTGCTGTATCACTTTGTGATTATTGTTCTTCTCATTCTTGATATTTTAAGTGATTAGAGGATGGGTTAAAGCCTTAAAGGCTGATGGCGTTTTGGCTTTGTGATCTTCTTCTTCTTTGAACATCTGCAAGAGAGTTTGACTAATTCAAATGGAAATATGGAATCAATTTGATAATGGAAAGTTGACAATTGGGATCATTTTAATAGTGTTTTTTGGTAAATAACAATAATACAGTTGTCTGGTTAGCAGGAATCTCGCCGGCGGTCAATCAGTATATATATATATATATATATATATATATATATATATATATATATATATATATATATATATATATAATTAAGTTCTAGTACGGGTAAGTGTCTCTCGTGCGGTTGTGCGGGTGATTAAGGTGCATGAGTATTGTGCTTAAGGTGTGTGAGGTTTTTGCTTAATGTGCGTGAGAGTATACTGAGTTTTGTGCTTAATGTGTGTGAGTTTTGTGCTTAAGGTGTGTGAGTCTTGTGCTTAAGGTGCGTGAGTTTTATACTTAATGTGAGTTGTTAAAACTTAAGGTGTGTGTGTTTTTGTGTGAAGGTGTGTGGGTTTGTGTTCTTAAGGTGTTTTGTTTGTGTGTTTAATATGCGTGTGTTGTGTACTTAAAGTGCGTCAGTTTAGTGCTTAATGTGCATCCACCCGCACAATCGCTCGGAAAGTTCTCCCCGCACCTGATCCCTATATATATATATATATATATATATATATATATATATATATATATATATATATATATATATATATATATATATATATATATATATATATTTAAAATCACCGACCGACACGGTGCACAAATACGAGATAATACACAATAGTCCAAAATAAAATCACGGGACCACCACCAACAACAATTTCACTGTAACAAATCTTGAGTACAAAATTTCTGGCTACTACATGAGCCAAACATCCAAAAAAAATCATCAAATACCACAACTCTAGGCCAAATACATTCTTTAACATTCACAAGCTAAATTAATAATATTTCGTACTAAAAATATTCAACAATCACAAACAAGATGAAAATGAATACAAATATTACGATAGTATCCAAAAGATGCATGGAATAATACAAGTTGACCTCTCAAAAGTATTTGATGAAGATACCACCAAAAAACTTCGACAAACTCACGGCAAAACCAATAAACATGTGACAAAGGAAGAAACCCGTCGAACATGCTGCTGTCGAACTACCGAAGGGGACAAAGAGACAAGCAAAGGAAATCTTTATTTTGCCAAGACCTTGTGGTTCATACTAATTATTCAACAAATTTGATTGGTCAATGGCACTTGGATTGGATTCTCATATGTGAAGTTGTGAGTTGGAGTCTCAGTGGAGACGTTATTTGGCTCTTTATTCTTAGATTGAGAAAGCAGTTATGAACAGATACTACATTGTAATAGAGTCAGTAGCATTCAAAAACAAAAAATGCTTGTGTGTATCAATATAGGAGAAGAAGTTTTTGCTCCTTTTATAACTTCACTTGAAATAGAAATTTATGAAGACAAATAAATAGAATTAATATGTACCCAAAAAAATAAATGGAATTAATTTCATTTGCCTCTTCACATGCATGCCAACACCTTTTATAGCTTCACTTGAAATAGGAATTTATGAAGACAAATAAATGGAATTAATATGTACCCAAAAAAATAAATGGAACTAATTTCATTTGCATCTTCACATGCATGCCAACAATAACGTTGGTGCTCCAACTTTTTATATTCCCTTAATATTATTAAATAATATAATAATAATAATTAGGACTCAATAAAAATATAGTGGATAAAAATTGACTTGGTTTAAACATGAGATATTTACCACATAGGAGGAGAGTCCAACCCAACAATATATATATATATATATATATATATATATATATATATATATATATATATATATGTGTGTGTGTGTGTGTGTGTGTGTGTGTGTGTGTGTGTGTGTGTGTGGATCAGGTGCAAATACGACTTCCCGTGCGATTGTGCTGTTAACACAAAAAGACGCATCTTAAGCATTAAAATGACGCACCTTAAGTACACAAACCGTGCACCTTAAACACACAAACAAAGTATCTTAAGAACACAAACCATGCATCTAAAGTTTTAAAATGACGCACCTTAAGTACACAAACTACTCACTTAAGCACATAAATAAAACACCTTAAGAACACAAACTACGCACTTAAAGTTTTAAAATGATGCACCTTAAGTTTCAAGACGCACCTTAAACATACAAATCATGCACCTTAAGAATGAAAACAACGCAACTTAAGAAGGAAAACCACACACCTAAAATTTTAGGTCGACGCACTTTAAACACACAAACCACGCACATAAAGCTTTAGATCGACGCACTTAAGTTTTCAACACCGGACGCACCTTAAGCCACACAGTACAAAAACCACTCACCTTAAGCACAAAAACCACGCACCTTAAATTTGACCTAGATGCAAAAAAGACTAAATTGCCACCACGCATTTTTTTAATCACTGTTAATCTTACCCCAAAAGGTTGAATCCCCAACCCTAAGGGCCCCCCACACTCCGACCCGACAGAGCATGTGAGAGGATGTAAATCACGGTGACTCAAAGAATTAGTAGGCATGGCCAAATGTCGATGCGCACAAGGAATCACGGTTAATCTTGAACGTTGATTTAGGCATGATCAATGGTTAGATTTAACCGTCCAACCGCCGGGATACACCCAACTGCACGGGAACTGAATTTTATATATATATAAAGACTATACACTATTAAAATTTCCAAGTACTATAGCAAATCAAAATTCACTTTTATTAACTGAGTCGCTTTGATAATTAATAAGTGGATCTATTTATATTTTGTTTGGTAACATAGTTAACTTATTAGCAAATTTTTATTTATTTAATCATTATTAATTCGTTAACTTTTTTTGAATGCTATTAATTCGTTAACTTAATTAAACAGTCAATATAAATATTTGATTAATTAACTTTTTGTACATTTATGACCCAATTTACCACACCTTCATGCATAATAGGACCTCAAGGGTGAAATAAGTCTGCATTATCACATCCACACCCAATAATAAGTAACACTGACATTTATATATTACTTGTATCAAATCTTTTACTGAACCATAGACACTTTCTCTTTACTCATATTCCCATTTCCTGGGAATCACAGACATACTTACACACATGCAGATGCTATTTATGCTGTGTAACTGACACGAACAGAGAGAAAAGCAAGCAACATAGTTAAGGTGAAGAAACATATCACAGAAGTACTAGGAAACACTCTGCAACGAGGTGTGCAGTTTCTTCAGATGATGGCATCAATGTTGAGAGAAGAGTAAAGGTAGCGCACAAAGTAGAGCGATGTGAGGAAGCCAATGGCGCCAGTGGAGAGCATGACTGCCATTGAAATGAGCAGAGAGTATCCCAGGTAAATCATGGTGGAGGCTAATCCACTCAACCCATTAAGCTCATAAACCAAGTAATAGGCACAGTAAGCGAAAACAAAGAAGCCAGCAGATCCTGATGCAAAGAATGCCTTCCACCACCACTTCCAATCCTCAGCTCGAAGGCGCACGTAAGTAAGCACTACAGAAACTTGAGCACAGACGACAACCAACAACAGGACGCCAACGAGCAGAAAACCATAGGCGAAGTAGAATTGCCCGAACCAGATGGTGGAGAGGATGAAGAAGAGGTCCAGGAAGAGGGTGGAGAATGCAATGGATCCCCCAACAAGAACAAGAAGCCAGGATTGGTATGTAGGAGCAGTGATTTCTCTAGGAACATGGTTAGTATGGAGAGGGTGTGGAGTCCTTTCGGGTTTTGTCCCCAGGTATCCTCCCAGGAGAGTGAGAGGGACTGAAATGCAGAACCAAAGGAGGAAGAGTTGAAGATATGTATACATGGAAATGGCTGCAGTGCTATAGTTTCCCCAGTAAATGAAATCCAGGAGAACAACTCGAACGACGAAAACAATCCCAGGAAAGAAGCATGAAGTTGAGAAAGAAACAGATTTCCAGTTTTCTGAAGTCCCCTTGAGGGTAATCCAAAGCCTTACTCCAATATAACCAGATAAAATTCCTGAGAGATGATAACACACTATCAACCCAAGCAGCAGCATGCCTGGGGAAGCTGGGGATATGAATCCCAGGGCAGCAAAAACAACAGTGAGAATTGCAGCTCCAGTTATCTGAACCCCATTTCCTATCACCACACACAGAAGCATGGAGTGCCCTGGTTCTCTGAACACATCCCCCATTATGAGTCTCCATCCTGGAAGATCCTCTTTCCCCTGTGGCTGCTGGTGAACTTGTTTCTTGACTGTATTCTTGAGAATCTTAAGAACACCCCCGGCCAAGAGGAAGATCACTACCAGCGAGCTGAGAATGGAAAGCCGGTGAATCGTGCCTTCCATAGGCCGATAAGCATCCCATCTGGACTCCCATCTCACTTCACTTTTCACAAATTCTACTTCATAAGTGTATGATACTCTTTCCTGCTCTCTGATTACCTGAAACTTGTTAAGCTCCAAGGGATAGTTTGGGTGAGGAATATGATCATACATGTGGAGTGCATACATTTTTTCATGATCATACTTGATGCTACAAGGGACTACCTCTACGCCCACAATTCCATAACCATTCATATCATCATCTTCTCCAACACCAATCATCTGCGGCTGAAAGCTGTCATCTTTCTCCTCGTCCTTATGAACAAGGACCCTGAATTTGAGGTGATTGATGAGGTAATCACCATTAGACCCCATGTCTGTGAACCCAACAGGAAACCCTGTCCACTGAAACGTAATCTCATTCCACCTGGCATATCTCCGCAAAGGCAAACCATCAAGCATCAAATTCACCTGATACAAATCTCGAGTTCTCTGTTTCAACCGTTTGACATCATCCGCACTCAACGGCGGAGAAGTACAGAGGTAGATTGACTCGTTAACATTCATACGTAAACGGTATGGCGAGTTAACGATCTGATCTCCCATGAGTATCTGCCCGAGATTATGAGCGCTCTTCTTGATGCCCATTGGAGGAATGCAGTAAGGCAGGCTGTAGTAGCTGAAGGGAAGCTGGGTATTAATGGAGGTCAGAGAGTTCACTTTGAGAAAAAGTATGTCAGCCTTGGAATATATGTGTTTATTATAGCTTCCGGGAAGATGAAATCCATGGCAAGCTTGTGAAACGAGGATGAGGAGAAGAATGAAAGCAGCAAAGCATCTCCCTCCTGGCGATTCCATGGCTCTGTAACTCATCTAGTGATTAGAGAATGGGGTTAAAGGCTTGTTGGTTCATGGCCAAGAAGAAGAGGACTGGCTTGAGCAATGGACCAGAAATGCCGGTCTCTCTACGTTGGAAAATTGTCCGTTGACTGACTCACCATGGAAAATTGTCCGTTGACTGACTTGACTTGAGCATTGGTATTTTGTAATAACAACAACAATCTCAATAGGGGTTCTTTGGTTGTTTTTGAAACAGGAAAAAAATTGATTCACTGATTTTTTATTAATGTGGAGGTTGATTTTGTTAGTATATTTTACTTTCTGCGCAAAAACAAAATTTTTGTAGGTTAAAAAAAAAGTATCCCGTAATTGTGTTTCATGATGCGCCGACTCATCGAGTTTGTGTTACATGCGCAACTTTTTTTTATTACAAAGGAAGGGGGATACCCATACAACCTATGCCTACACTGAGGCTTGAAACTTAGACCTCCCACAAGGGAGCAATCCGATACCAGTGGACCACAAGCCACCAGTGGTTAACTCTCAAACTTTGTTTGTTCGATTTTTTTTTTTTTTTTTTTTTTAAATTCTCTTGTGTTTTGTTTTTCACATGCAACAGTATTCCTTTTTTTTTTTTAACATTTAATTTGTTTGTTTTTTATTTTGATTTTAATTTTTTTTTTTATAAAATTCAAATATGTAATATATATTTTTGAATTAAATTTTGAATATTTAATTACAATTAAAATTATAAAATGATTAAAATAAATAGAGCAATAACAAAAATTAATTTAAATGTTTGAGACTCGTTTGCTTGAGATACTTGTAATATAAATAGATCATCTTCATTTGCTTGAGACTCATACAATTATACTATTGTAATAAATACTCAAACGGCTTTGAGCCTAATTGGCCTATCACTTACAATACTATCAGTTTGATTACTTAGGGCTTGAGGCTACAATATACCATAATCAAGAACCAAACTGAGAATTAATTCGACTAAAAATAATAGGGGTTTGATTGCTTAGGGTTGGGGCTGAAAAATAATTACTCAAATGTGGAAAATTTGTAACTACTAAAGTATTAAACATTCAAGCAAGTTGTACTTTGATTTGTTATTTGAATGCTCAACATTAATTTGTTGTCAATTATTAAATGAAAAGTGATAAGTTATTAACATGTTTTCTCAGTTTGGGCCTGATGACTTGCTCCTGGGAAAAGAATGAATCATGTTGAGATTAACTGAACAAAAATTGAGCTATTCTTTTGTTAACTGTGATGATTATATGCCTACATCCACGAGAACAAAACTGGTTCTTCTATTAATTATGCTTACATCCACGAGAACGAAACTGATTCTTCTATTAATTGTGATGATTACCCCTATACCATATGTGAAAATGAGACATACACAACAAATCACTCCAACAAAAAGTGGCAATAACAATTATATAATGAAGTGATCTCATATAGTATGCTCCACAAACAACAGATATTCAAACTTCAAAGGAAACATGTATAGATTTGCAAATGCTAGTCCCATAATCACATTCCTAAACAGATTGAATCTGGGGTGTAAATAAACAATTGCTCTTAGATTTGCTACCAGCAAAAACCATAGCATTATGCCATTTGGAAGTGTTAATGGCAGGGGTGATGGGTAAGCTTACACATAAAGAAAGCCAAAAGGGTGGCATATGACAAGAGAGCCACTCCTGAATATGAGAGGAATCATAGTTCATGATGCAACTTTTCAAGTACATAATACCCATATAACAATTAAATACAATGCAATTCTCAACTATGTTCAGCACTAGACAAAAATCGAATGGCTATACAAGGTTCGGGCCGGCATCAGGTAATGAAGCCATTTGTAAAGTTCTCCCATTTCCAGCAGCAAGGAACCTCACTGAAGGCAAGGAAGAATCTGTGATGGTTTCGACCTCAAGAAAGCTGAAATCGAATGTCCCAGATTTCTTCAAACTGAAAGTAAACACAACAGCTATCCATCCAAGCATTGAAATTGCCCAATAATTGTTCATTCCATGAATCAACCCCCAGGCAATTGCATAACCAACGACAATTCCTGATAAGTGCCCAAGAAAACTCGCTTGAGGAACAATAATAGAGGTAAATATGAGCGACTCGAACGGTGCAAAACTTATGGGGAGCGAAAGAAACCCAAAAAGATCCAACTTTGACGATGGCTGCTTCACCGACAGAATTGTCATCCACCCAAACACCACACAAGAATACCCCACGGCAGTCACTCTTCGAAAATATTCGAGCTTAAACCTCTGTATCAAAACATGATACATTCCCAAGACAAGCATACCAGACAGAATGACCAAGACGAGAGTATAATGTAGGTAATACTGCACACCAAGACCTATGTGCCCTAACTTCTCAACAACTCCCAAACTCCAAAGTGCACTCATATTGAAAACAAGATGGATCACACTAATATGTGAAAAAGCAGAAGTTATTATCCTCCAATGATGACCTTCCAATGCAGTCTCATAACTCAACCCCACATGAGAATACCCAATGTTTTTCTTCTGTATGTAAAACCAAATTGCACTACATATTGCTATTACACAACTTGTAGCTGGTTTCTCCAATATCTCATAAAACAGTGGTTTCCCCATTGGAAAGGAACCCTTACACCCCTTTCAATCTCAATCAAAACTTGAACCAGTGCACTTATAACTGCTATATATCCTTTTGTCCTAAATTTTGTTTAGGGATCTACAATAGATCAATCCAAACTAGTATCTATAATCTAATCAAGCAAGGGAATACAAACACCACTACAAGAAGAATCAAGAATCATGAACACTATATTCAGCGCGAAGAATGTAAGGTGAATATCCAACCAAAATAAGCAATACCCACTTCAAGATTTCACTACTACAACAAGATTCACATGCACTATACCTCACAATTGATCAAATCTGACCAAAAATCCTCAGCCTGAAAGCATGAAACTTGAGAAACGTGTGGGTGAAATGTAATCCAACGAGGCAGTGGCGATGTTGTGAACCTGTAGATTTTGGCAATACTTACAGATTTGGACTCTTGAAAGATTTGGAAGCGCCGGGTGAATTGAAAATTGTATTCGGGTTCGGCAAATCGCCAAGGGCACAAAAGGAAAGGCGAATTCTACTATGTTCCAGACATTTGCCATGTTTTTTCTCTTCTCTTTTCGTATTTATCAATAGACCCTGTAGGTCTGATAAACTCTCACTTTTGCCCCCCATTTGTTGAAAAAACTAATTTAGATTGTCACCATATAATTAATAAATCCGTCAAATTGCCAAATTCTTATTATCAAGTTCGTCACATATAATTTTTTGTATTTTTTTTTTTTGTAATTTGTAAATTATTACAGATTAACAAAATTTATTCAATGTACACTATTAAAATAATAATTGATTTTTTTCTCGTCACAAAAAAAGACATAAATAAGAAATTTACAATCAATATGTTACTTTATGATAGTGAAATGTGATAAAGCAAATAACATACAAGCATCCTCAATAGATGGAGATTTTAGTTTATTTTGACAGAGGTGATTAAGAGAGGAAACATGGGAGATATAAGGGAAAAAAAAGTAATAGATCTAATGTGCCCAGCAGAATGCACGCGCCTGCTGGGCGCGCATCAATTGCGCGTTAGTGCAACTAATGAGAAAGTCTTGATTTTTTGTGGGACATTGAGTCCCACAAAAAACAAAGTCTTGCAAGAGGAACCAAGTATTCTCTCTTCCACATGGATGTAAAACTGTAAAAACCATTCAAAATTCATCTATTGGGGATGCTCTAAGTATAATAGTTAATACCACTTTTAGTTTCTAAAGTATAGTGATTTTGTTTTATTTTGTTTTATTTTTTTTTTTTAATATTAACGATGAATTTAATTAACCCGGGGTAGCCCGAATTTCTAAACCCGATAAATAGAGAATAAATAGGAAAAGACAATGAATATAGGTCGCGGGGACAACTTTTGTATTGATAATGATTCGTAGGAGAATTACAAGATGAATGTAATATTCAGACCAAGAAGTAGATGTCCTAACAGACAAGAACATGTCTTTTTATACTAGCTAACCTCCCAACCGTCCACCATATTCTCGTGGGGCGGTTGGATCACGATTTTGACCGGGTCCATTTGCACGCGGACGTGATCGGGAACGCCTCAGCTGGGGCCGACCCCAGCCAGCGTCGACCTTGACCCCAGCCGGGGTTGCCCTTAACCTCCCATGTCGCGTCTTCCCCTCTTCGGGTCGGTTTGCCCCGAACCCATTCCTAATATATCCATCATCGCTCCCCCCCCCCCCCCTCTCTGAATTGCGAGTCTTCGCCAACGAAGGAGAGTAGCCCGAGTTGAAGATCAACTCCTTCCTCCTTGGCCGAATTTCATCGCGATTGGAACTCCTCCTCTACAAGAACACAAACAAGTCTTGAACTCCTCCTTCCCCATAAATGCATTGAACTTAAGGAGGTCGAATTGAGCTCTGAGCTCGATCTATCGAGGTCGACGTTGGCTAGGGTCAAGGTCGACGCTGGCTGGGCTCGAGGGGTTGGGGTTGACCCCGGCTGAGGCGTCCCCGACCACGTCCGCGTGCAAATTGACCCGGTCAAAACCGTGATCCAACCACCTGACGAGAATAAGGTGGGTGGTTGGGAGGTTAGTTAGTATAAAAAGACATGCTCTTGTCTTGTTAGGACATCTACTTCTTGGTTTGAATATTACATTCATCTTGTAATTCTCCTACGCATCATTATTAATACAAAAATTGTCGCCGCGACCTATATTCATTGTCTTTTCCTATTTATTCTCTATTTATTAGGTTTAGTAATTCGGGCTACCCCGGATTAATTAAATTCATAACTTAACTTTAAAATCAATAATATTGATTAATTATTTCTTTTGGTTCTTTGGTAGATTTGTGTCAAACAATTGTTTGCTGTAAGATTTTTTTTTTATTTTTATTTTTATTTTTATATGTAGTTTCATTACCTAATCCCCAAAACTTTTTGAAGGAAAAAAAAAAAAAAACATAAATCATTCCAATTTTTTCAAGCAATACATTCCAATTTGTTCAAACAATATTTACACCCTGAAATGTATTCGTGTTGGGTTT